CCCCCACCCGGTCCCCCGCGGCGCCGCCCGGAGCCGCCTCCCGGCGCAGGGCCAGGGTCTTCTAGCGCTCGATCCTGGGGGTATTGGTCCTGATGCCAGGCCCTCAGACTCATCTGGGAGCCCCCAGGCCCTCACTTTCAGCACCTCAGAGTGTCATCCTGCACACCTAGATTTCTATCTAATTTGAGCCCCCAGAATTCCATCCTGTGCATCCACATCTTAATGCTGGAGCCCCCAGACTCTTTGTGCGCTTCCCAGAATGTCATCCTGTGCACCTAGACCCCACCTAATCTTGGGGCCTCCAGATCCTCACCCTACGCTCTCCAGAATTTTATTCTCTGCACCCAGAAAGTCACTCTGGAAATACCAAAACTTCATTCAGGGTCCCCAGACCCTCGCTTGAGGACGAGACGCTCCCCGGCCCAGAACTGTTCATCTCTGTCCCTTCTCTTCTCCATCCCCAGGGCTGTCTGTCTTCAGCCAAGTGGTCCCTTCACTCCAGGACAGCCTCCCCGGAGCCCTCCGATTGCCGGGCTACAACAGTTTGGGGGCGGGGGCGGCAGTTCTCTTTTGGCCCAGAATGAATGGAAGCCCCTTAGAAGGCTTGGGCAGCGCTGAACTCGGGCGTACAGGACTCCAAGGTCCGGCGCCAGCGCCTTCCCGGCCACCTCCCACCCGCGGCCCCCTCCGCCCCCGGGGTTTCTGCCTCCGCCCCCAAGCGGAGGGCGCGCCCTTGGGGGAGGGGTTTGGGCGGAGCTGGCTCCCAGGAAGGGGCGGGGCCTCTCCCTGCCCACGTCTCAGGGCGGGGCCAGACGGGAAAGGGCCGCGTGTGCAAGGTTCTCAGTCTGGAGGCAGATGGCGTGCGGGAACTGCCGAGCCCTCCCTTCCCTTTCCACCCGTGTTTATCCTCACGATCGCCCCCAACGCAGCCGGGCCGGGGGAGAGGGAATGCCGAGGAGGGGACGTGGGATGGGTCCCGAGGTGAGCCCTCCGGGTTCAGAGTGGACCGGAAAGCGCCTCCCCCATCCCCAAATCCTTTCCAGCCGCAGGGGCGAGGAGGCTAAAAATAATAACTCTTTAGAGCCAAAAAGACAGACAATAACAAGTGTTGGCGAGGATATGGAGAAATTGGAACGCTCATACACCGTGGGTGGCAACGTAAGATGGTGCAGCCGCTTTGGAAAACAGTCTGGCAGGTCCTCAAAATGTTACCACATGACCCAGCAATTTCACTCCTAGGTATGTACCCAGGGGAATTGAAAACATGTGTCCACACAAAATATCTGTACAAACTGTTCATAGCAACACTATTCACAAGAACCAAAATGTAGAGACAATCTAATGTCCGTCGTGATGAATGGATAAATAAAATGTGGGGATACAACACAGTATTATTCAGCCATAAAAAGGAATGAAGTACTGATGTGTGCTACAACATGGATGAATCTTGAAAATATTACACTAGGTGAAAGAAGCCAGACACAAAAGGCCCCATAGTCCACTTATATGACACATCCAGAATAGGAGAATCTGAGAGACAAACTAGATTAGTGTTTGCAGGGGGAAGGGGGACGGGGGAGTCACTACTAATTGGTACAGGGTTTCTTTTGGGTGATGAAAATGCTCTGAAATTAGATAATGGTAACGGTTGCACAATTATGCAAATACACTAAAAACCACTGAATTGTACACTCTAAAAGTGAATTTTATGGTGTGTGAATTATATCTCAATAAAGCTATTAAAAAATAGTAAAAATAATAGCTCTTTTTTTGGTTTGTTTTTTTGCTGAAGATTTGCCCTGAGCTAACATCTGCTGTCAATCTTCCTCTTTTTGTATGTGAGCTGCCACCACAGCATGGCCACTAACAGACGAGTGGTGTAGGTCTGCATCTGGGAGCCGGGTCCCCGGCCCTGAGCCACTGAATCAGAGTGCAATGAACTTAACCACTAGGCCACCGGGGCTAGCCCAGAATAATAGCTTTTGATTATCAAGATCTAACCATTCCAGGCAGCAGCGTGCACCTCATGCAATCCTCCTGCCAAGCCAGGGAAGCCGTGCCGTTAACACCCCATTTCACAGATGACAGAGGCTGAGATTTGTCCAGGCACAGCCAGAGTGGGAAGGACAGCATTTGAACTCAAGTCCCTCTGACTCCAAGACTCTCTGGGCTCTTTGCCCCCAGAGTAGAGCATTAAGGACCCACCATCTGAACACCTGCTCCGTGCCAGCCAGGGTCGTAGGTGCTCCACAAAGGGTCATTCCACTCAAAGGAATTGTTGCTGCCACTCAGAAATGAGGCCCAGAGGCCCAGAGGGGGACGACTGGATGCCCAGTTGGCAACTCAAACTTGGACCTGAGCCTCCATCTTTGCACTGTTAGGCTTGGGTGTGCCTGCCACTCGGAGGTGCCGCCTCAGAATGCCTCTCCTGACCTCTGGGACCCTAACGACTTTCCCTGCTCTCATCCCCTCTGCACTGGCTCACAAGGCCTTATCTTGGTTGGTGTCTCTCTTCTACCAAGGCAGTGAGCCCCCTGGGCCCTGAGCTCAGCCCTCACTGGGTGCCAGCCAGGAGCTGCAGGATGAGCAAATGAATGCACAAATGAGTGAGCCAGTGGGTAAGTTCATTCATTCATTCAGCAAATGTTTACTGAGTGGCCACTGTTGACCAGGCTCTGTGCTAGGCACCAGGGACACAGCACTAATGGAAAAATGACCCAAATCTCCTGGCCTCATGGAGCTCACATTCAAGGGAGGGAAGGAGAGGATCAAAGAGGAAGGCCACCCAGTCCCACACCTCAGTCCCTCCTCCCCCAAATTTCCACAACCCCCACCACAAGAGTCAGGTTTTATAATAGACGCCCTTTGGTGCCCACACAGGGACCTCCAGCTCTGAGGGCTGACACAGGGCCTTTGTCATAGGTCACACATGGCCCAAGACCAGGGCCACATAGCTAGGATCTAGAACCAGGGAGCCAGTTACCCCTCTGTGGATGGTCTGTCTACCGCATTTTAGTAAAGGCAGCACCATTCTTTTTTCTAAATAGGGGTGTCCCTTGGCTAACTATCTGGGGTAGGGGAAGGGGCGCAGCAAAATGAGGCCTCACAGCTTTGGGAAGATTCCTAATGAATGAAGAAATGAGGCAGTGAGCACATGAATGAATGAATCCCAGGATCAGATCCCTCCTCCCTTTGCCTCTCTCCTATCCACATGCAACCCTTAGAAAGCCAGCTTTTTCTCATTTATCTCTGGTCTTGGGTGCTGGTTCTCATCCTGGGGGCCTGGTTCCCAGCATGGAGGCACACAAGGGAGACGCCCAGCCCAAGGAGCCATTAGAACCAAGGCAGCAGTAATGGGTGTTAACACCCCTGCCCAGCCATTGGCCTCACAGGCTTTGGCCCTGCTCTGCCTGAGATGCCAACTCTGCCATCTTTATGCCCCCTCAGGCTCACCCAGACCCCTCATCCCCATCCCCTGACTGTGACAGGTATGAAGAAGAGAAGGAGGCAGTAGCTGCCACTTGCTGTCCCCAGGACCCTGCACTTTCCTGTTTAAAACCCATGATGACCAATTGTTCAGTCAACAAACACCCATCGAGCCCGCTCTGTGCTGGCCCCATCCTCAGCGCTGAGGACGCAGGGCATCAGACACATCTGGGGTGGGTGGGAGGCAGATGCCAAGCGGGCACAGGCACAGCAGGGCCTCCAAGGGCCGCAGATCACAGCAGAGGATGGGAAGCAGGGAATGCTTCTTGGAGGTGACCCTTGAGCTGACTGAGCTTTGCAGGATGAGCAAGAGTGCTTCCCCAGAGGGCACTGACCACCCTCCATCCCCCCCAGTCGTCAGGAGCCCGTGGCTCCCGTAGCCCCCTAGGCTTCCCGCTCACAGCACTGATGGCCCTATATTGTCACTGCCCACTTAGGATCTGTCTCCTCCTGTCTCTTTAAGGACAGATCCACCTCTGCATCCCTAGAATTGCCCGGAACAGGGTGGCAGACAGCCTCTGTTGAATAAAGAAAAAGAGGTGGAGTGAGGAGCGGGCAGGCAGAGGGCCGGGCAGGGACAACAGCCTGAAGGCCTCTTGGGGTCGGCCCCCCTCCCAGCCTAGTTTCCCCTTTGTGGTTTCTCCAGCTCCGCCCTCTCAGCCCCTCCAACTTGGCCTGCACAGCTTCCTGCCCCTGGCACTCTGTTCCACGGCACGATGGCACAAACTGTCCACCTCTCCTGCCTCCTGGCTCTGTTGGTGGCAGGTCCGGCCCAAGGCGTCAAGGGCTCCCTCAGGGGCCAGGTAAGTGCCCCCAACCTGCTCCCCATACCCTTCCCTCTGCAGGCCCCGTGCCTGGGGCTCACCGCTTCAGAAACAACTGCCTTGTTCCCATTTCTCAGAGGGAGTGACTGAGGCTGAAGAAGTGATTGATGAGTCCACGCTCACACAGGGAGACAGCGGGCTAACTGGCTGATCCCCTAGCCCAGTCTGCATGGCTGGGAGCTGAGGTGTAGTCCAGAGATGACTTCTCACCTACCTCCCCCCACACTCCCACCCTTGGTTCCCTCCAGGACCCAGGTCCCCGGCCGCTGGAGCTGAAGGAGGTCTTCACATTATTCCAGATCCAGTACAACCGGAGTTACTCAAACCCAGCAGGTATCAGGGGGCACGTGCATCTCCAGTCCAACGCCCCTTCTCCCATTTAATAGATGAGGAAATCAAGGCTCAGGGTGGGGAATGGGCAGGACAGTGGCAGGACTGGGGTGTACTCCCTGGTTCCCGAGTCCACAAGCGGCGACAGGATTTCTTTGCTATGAATCTGGAAGGAGGTGGCAGCTGCTGGGGGTCTGCCCAGTCTCAGAGGATCCTCCCCTCCATAGCCACTTTCCTGTGACCCCAGGCAGTGGGCAGGAGACCACTATCTAGTCATGACTTCATTCAGCAAACACTCAAGGATACCCATTTTGTCCCCAAGGTGACTCTCTCACCACCCCCAGGAGCTGCCAGCCCTGCTCCTGCCCTCTCTGTGTCTCATCTCCCATAGAGGGATTGTCTGGGGGCGCCTTTCAGCCCAGGCTGCCTGGGCTGTGGACCTGTCCCCCATCCTCCCCCACCCCCACCACGTTCCAGCTCCGGACCTGCGGTCTGAGGTGTGAAGCGAAGGTGGTGGAGGAGGTGACCTGGCAGAAAGCCGGCTCCAACCACCTACTTTCCCTTCTGAGTCACTCTGCCTTCAGACCCTTTAGTTGGCTTCCCCCGGGGGTGGGCAGAGACGCCCCCCTTCCTGCCTCCTGGGAAAACCCAACCCCAAGTGGGCTGGGAGCCGTTTCCTTAGCCCAGGCGTCTGCAGCGGGGCCTGCAGGAGCCATAGGAAAGGAGTCAGTGCTCACCTTGGTGTGTGGGTGAGAAGATGCTCAGCCAGTGGCCACTTCCTGTCCCTGCGGGCTTGAGAGTCAGCCTAGGACAACCCCCTTTTGGTCCAGAGTATGCTCGCCGCCTGAACATCTTTGCCCACAACCTGGCCCAGGCTCAGCGGCTGCAGGAGGAGGACTTGGGCACAGCTGAGTTTGGGGTGACTCCATTCAGTGACCTTACAGGTACTGGGACCCCTCCCGGCCCCTAGGTGATGGGTGGGGAAGCAGAGCCTTCTCCAGGTATACTAGCAGATGGACAGGGCAGACCTACGGCTTTCGTTTCCCAGAGAGGGATGCTAAGGACCAGAGGCCTGGCTGCTTGCCCCACATCAGAGAGAGCAGGGGTAGGAACTCCAGCTCAGGGGCGAGGCAGCAGCTACAGGGGAATGCACCCAGCAAGGAACCGGGCCTCTCTCTAGCCCTCAGCATCCTTGCCTTTGTCTGCCAGGGTGTTATGGGGACTCAAATGGCTGAGGAAGTGGATGGCTGGAGTGGGAGAGGCAGAATATGGGAGGGAAGGGTCAAAATTGTGACCTTGGTGGCCCCATCTGTCCCACAGAGGAGGAGTTTGGCCAGCACTATGGGCATCGGAGGGCAGCTGCAGGGGTCCCCAGCCTGGGGAGAAAGGTAGAGTCTGAAGAGTGGGGGGAGTCAGAGCCAGTGCCACGGACCTGTGACTGGCGGAAGGCAACCGGTGTCATCTCATCCATCAAGAACCAGGTATCTGCCTCCACCCAGCCTGGCCCAGTCCAGCCGGTGGTGGGAGGGAGGGAGGGGCAAGGCCCAGACACCTTACCCTGCCCGTACTCTCTCACTGCTAGGAAAATTGCAACTGCTGCTGGGCCATAGCGACCGTGGGCAACATCGAGGCCCTGTGGGGCATCACATGGCAATCGTCTGTGGAACTCTCTGTGCAGCGTATGGCTGGGAGAGGGGGGCATGTGTGACTGGGGAAGGGAAGGGGGCCTGGGGCCTGGTCACCCGCATTGTCCCTTCTCACACCAGAGCTGCTCGACTGTGACCGCTGTGGGAATGGCTGCGGGGGCGGCTTCGTCTGGGATGCATTCATCACGGTCCTCAACAACAGTGAGTGCCCTGCCTCTCAGGGCAGCTGTGGGCTGGGGGACATTCAGGAGCCGGGTCTCCATCCTGGCCTTGCTTATCTCTAGGTGGCCTGGCCAGTGAAAAGGACTACCCATTCCAGGGGAAAGGCAAACCCCACAAGTGCCTGGCCAATAAGCACAAAAAGGTGGCCTGGATCCAGGATTTCATCATGCTGAAGGACAACGAGCAGAGTGCGGACAGGCTGGAGACACAGGCGGACGTTGGGGGAGAATGACAGGGATGGACAGATTGGGCTATAGACACAGATGGAGGGATGGAGTGGGTGGGGATGTGGCAAGGGAGAGAGAGAGGCACCCATGAGCCGAGAGCAGAGGGCACAGGGCAGGCAGGGCCTGATGGCACCTTCTCCCCCCAGCAATCGCCTCGTACCTGGCCACCCATGGCCCCATCACCGTGACCATCAATGTGAAGCTACTGCAGGTAGGATAGGGGAGGGAACGGGGGGAGGGGCATATAGGGGAGGTAGCCCCAAACTCAGCCCCTCTGCCCCTACCCCTGCAGCAATACCAGTCGGGTGTGATCCGGGCCACGCCCACCACCTGTGACCCCCGGCACGTGGATCATTCTGTCCTGCTGGTGGGTTTTGGTGTGGAGGGCAGGCAGGCAGAGGCAGGCTCATCTCGTCCTCGTCCTCGCCACTCCACCCCATACTGGATCCTGAAGAACTCCTGGGGGGCCAACTGGGGTGAGAAGGTGAGTGTGATCTATGGAAGGGACAGGGCAGGACAGGCCTCTCCCCACCTTCTGATGCCCCCTAACTTCCTAGGGCTATTTCCGGCTACACCGAGGCAGCAATGCCTGTGGCATCACCAAGTACCCGCTCACTGCTCGAGTGCAACTACCACAAAACAGGCGCCCAGTCTCCTGCCCTCCCTGAGCCCGCCTGGCTGCCCCTCAGCTCTCTCCTGCTGTGCCAGCTGCCTCCTTGCTGGCCCCTCCCCAAGGTCTTGGCCTGTCCTCCCAATCTTCCTGCTATGGATGGAATAAATCAGGATGAAACTCCTGTCTTCCAAGTGGACTCAGCTGGGGTGGGGAAATGGATGGGGAGAACTTAGACATCGTTTCCGGACACTTCCTAGTTCCTGCGGGGCCGACGTACACGTACATCCTTATACACGTACACTACGATACTTAGAGACACATGCACGCACACCTGCACAGACTCCCACACTGGACCACACGTGTACCCACGCACAGGCTCCTCCAAAGTTATGGCAACTTTATTGTCAGTGTGCGCCTGGCGGTGGGAGGGGCCTCAGTCATGATAGAGGCGCAGGAGGCAGCCATGGAGGGTGCCCATGTAGCGGTCCCAGAGGGCCTGGTGCCTGCAATGACAATGGGAACAGTAACGGCTGATGTTCACTGCATCCCCACCACTGCAGGAGGGCTAGGCTCTGGCAAGAGGCTGGCTGGGGCCAGGCCAAGCTGGACAGGAGGCCTGGCGTCTCTCACCGGAAGCCATCCAGGGAGTGGACCGATGCTGAATACTGATTCAAGAAGAGCCGCACGTCACTCAACGGCCAATGGTCAGAGCGGCAGGGTTCCACGAACTGTGGGCCCAAGGGAAGGGAACACGTAGCACTGGTCCAGCCCAGGGACAGGCCAGGTTGGGGATCAGAGGGCGGCGGGCAGGACAGCTCACCTTTTCCACAAGGTCCACAAATAGGTCTCTGACATCCTTATTGTGAGTCAGCTTGGCGGCCACATTCACCAGCCCCCGGGACAGGTTCTGTGGGGCAGGGAGCCTGGGAGTTCTGCCTTCTGTCCCAGAAGCTGGGGGTTGAGCCCAGAGGCTGGAGGAGGGCTCCCCAAATCTATCCACCTCCCTCAATCAAATAACTCCCCAACTTTAGGAGCAGCCTCCCCCCTCACAGGCAGGCGGGGAGGCAGCAGCGCCACCTGCCGGTCAATCCCGGGCATGAGCAGAGTTTCCCAGTGGGACAGTGCACTGGAGGCTAAGATGCCCAAGGGACACAGGTTGGATTAGGCCACAGACCTTGAAGTTGGCTTCCATCTCAGAGAAGACACCGAGCTTTCCCCGGAGGGCGGTGCACACCAGGCTGCAGGGAGACAGGGTCAAGCTTAGAGCCGCCTGGGCCCCCACTTCAGGCCCCACCCCATGGGCCCCCCTGTGTCACCTCTTGTGCAGGTCCAGAAGGTCCTTGTCAGCCACAAGCACCTTGAGCTCCTTCAAGTCCTGAAGAAACTCCTTGTCTAAGTCCATGTCCATGTCATCCACCTGGGAGTCTGAGTGAGGCTCATGAGGGGAGTTGGGGTAGGGGATAAAAACCCCTCCTGTGATATCCTGAGCCTTCCCCGCCCACCCCATCATTGCACCCCACGAGACAGAAGAGGAAGCGGAGTGTCAGAGAGGTGGAGTGACTTGCCCCAGGCCACAGAGAAGTAGTGGGCCCTTGGTCTGCAGACAACGTGTGTGTGGGGACACTGGACTATGAGCAGAGGTGGCTGAGGTGAGGGCACTAAAGAAAGGATGCTGGGGCCTGCAGGGGAAACTGCGGGCGGGGAACCAGGCCCAGGGAGGGTGGGGAGGTGTCCGGGCACCTGGGTCAGTGGGGGCCTCACCAACAGCTCCAAGGGTCCAGTTCTGGATCATGAGCTCAGCACAGAAGGCAAAGTCGCCAAAGCTCAGATACTGTAGTTTTTTCTTCCCTGTCTCAAAGCGGTTGTTGGCAAAGAAGACGATGGCTGCATAGTCCCTGCAGGGAGTGGGGAGTGGGCCTGTCAGGGCTTGAGACTCCTTCTTAGAAGTAGCTCCTACCTGCGACATCAGCTGGGCATCCAAGTTCTGGCCTCTCTCTGCCCTAACACACTGTGTGACGTGTTTCAAGTCACTTCTCTCTGGGCCTCCTCATCTGTGCAAAGAGGTTTCAGCCCAGGTCTCCTAAGGGATACAGCGGGAGACCACAGGGTAACAGTCACCATGTACTGAGCACTTCCTAAGCGCGAGGGCTGTGCCATGGACTCTCCATGCAGCACCTCACAATAGCCCAGCTGGTAAGTGCCCAGGCTAGGATTTGAACCCAGGCTGGTCTGATCCAAAGTGCAGACCAGCAGTGGGATGACCAGCCCCCAACAGCCAGGAGGTCAAGGGGATGGGGGTGGGGAAGGAAGACTAGCCTCAGGGCCCAGGGAAGGAGTGTGCAGGATGGGGAGAAGGCTGGCTCCTCGCCTGGCCCCTCACCTGGCCAGCCGGTCGGAGAGGAGGAAGTGTTGCTGGATGTTATCCACCAGGGAGCCCCGCATTTCCTCCACCACCTTGAAGACTCGCTTAAAGTTGTCAAACTGCAGAGCAGTTGGGGAGGAGGGAGGACTGGTCAGAGGCTGTTCCCCCAATAAACTGTTTATTGAAATCTCTCCTTCACCTACACACCTATCCAGTCAACATATGCTGAGTTAGCATCTGTTATTCCTTCCACAAACTATTCATTAATACCTGTCATCAATTCAACAAATGTCTATCAGCTTCTTCCATCTTGCCTTGGATAAATGTTTACTCACTCCTATCTCTGAATTCACCCCCATTTTAGCATCATGAGCTTGTGCTGGAACTGACCCTCCCAGCTAAGGCCCAGGAAGTCAAAAATGAGCGAATGCTAAGCCATATGCAGGGAGCTCACCAGAAACAAGAGCAAAGACACTAAAGGCCCAGTAGAGGGGTTACTTCTCTCTGGCACCACCAAAAAGGCTTGTGGAGAAGGTGGCATCTGACCCCCTGCCTTGGATTTCAAGGGGTAGATATGGCCGAGAATAGTACCCTCCAGGGAGGAGCAGCATGAGCAAAAGAAAGCCGGAGAATGAGGAAATGTCAGCCTAGAGAGGTTGGCAGGGACCACATCACAGGAGAGGATGAAGGTCAAGGCCAAGGAGTGTGGCTACTATCCACAAGGGAGTAGGAGCCCACGAAAGTTTATGAGTGGGGGAAAGCTATGGTCAGATCTGGGCTTCTGAAAGCTCACTCTGGCTGAAGAGGATGGTTTGCAAGCAGCAAAACAAGACGAGAGGAGAATGGGTATGAAGCAGCTGCCACAATCAGAGGTGGGGGAGGAGGCTGGGGCAGTGGTCGAAGGGATGAGGTGAAGGGGGGACTGTAGATGGGATGTTGTGTTGGGGGGTGCGGTGCCCACTTGTCTCCGGCAGCTCTTGAGGGTGATGCCCGTTTTGGTGCTGATGTCGTCTAGGTCTTTCTTGGTGCCCTTGGACAGCTTCTTGCCCAGGACCTCCCGCACAAAGGCCTCGTCAAAGGCATAGTACCTGCGTGGAGGCAGAGAACACCACTGACTTTCCATAAAGGAGGGGAAAGAGGGCCTAGCAGGGCCTGGGTGTGGTTCTTTCTGCTCCCAACTCTCTCACGGCCTGGGTAAGTCCCACCCTTCGCTGGGTCTCAGTTTCAGCCTGCAAAATGGGTATATGGTCAGACAGATTGGCGTCCGCACCTCTCGATGAGCAGCGCCTGTCGGGAGGGGGGGATCTGGAAGATGAGCTGGTGCAGCAGCTTGGGCGGTGCGTGCAGCAGGCGCTCGAGCATGTGGAAAGTACGGTAGTGGTCCATGGTGTCGCTCTGCAGCACCGCTGCAGTGGCGCCCGTCTGCTCCAGGATGCCCGAGCGCACCCTCAGGGCCACCGCGTCGCTCACTGGGGAGTGGGCGCTAGCATCAAGCCCCGCTCCGCTGACTCGAGGGGCCCTCCAGGGATTCCCGCCCCGACCCCTAAACATGACTTACTCCTGCTGCCCACTTCCCCATGGGATGGTCAAGTCCGGGCCCCGCCCCCTCTCCCACCCCAAACAACCGCTCCGCCCGACGGGCTCCCCAGACAGCCCCCCACAGACCCGAGTAACCATCCAGCCAGAGGCGATACACGTCCTCATCGATGAGGGTCGTGTTCCCCACGAAGATATCCAGCTCACTGGTCATGGCGACGCCCGACCCCGGGCGCGGCCGCAGCGCCCCAACAGGAGGGAGCACTGCCCGGGCCGGGCGCGCCGCCGCCGGGCCACTTCCGGGAGCGCCCAGATTCGGCTCCGGGCACCCGGAGCCAGAGAAGGACCACTTCCGGGACAGAGCGGGTGGGGGCAGGAGCGGCGCGGGAAGAGGCGGAGGCGGTGGAGTAGCCCCTCCTCCCAGCGGAAGGGGGAATCCCAGTCTTCTCCATCCCCACCCCCATCCGGGCCCCGTTTGCGGGAGGGCGTCGGGAGGCAAGACCTCCGGCCAGTCTCCCCTGCCCCGGCAGCCTCCCCCCATCATTTCCTCTTGGTGTTTCTCCCACATTCTCTGCTCTTTTCGGGGCCTCCCTACTTTGACCTGTATCCTAAATGTAGGGGTTTCACAAGGCTCTATACCAAATCTTTTCTCTGCTAAAAAGATGTCTGGCCCGACTTCCAAAGGCCCTTGCTGGGAACCCCTCAGTCCATCCTGCGGATGAGCACCTTTCCTGCTCCCATGGTTTAAACCACCCTCTCACCACTAACTCAGTAATGACCTCTCTTACTCTGCAGCTCAGAGCTCTGCCTGGAAATCCACATCCGGAGGGCCGCCTTTCTGCAACTCTGTCCAGGCTGTCTCCCCAGAGGCCTCTCAAAAGCTAGGCAGATCTTTCCTTCTCTCCAATCTGTTTCATTTTCTATGTCCCTATCTCAGTGACAGCCCCACCATCCACTCAGTTCTCATACCAGAAACCTGGGCTTTCTCCCAGACTCCTCTCTTCCCACATTCAGTTCTGCTGATTTGCCTCCTGAATAATTCTCGGATCTGTTTTGTCCTCTCCATCCCCACAGACCCTCCCAGCCCAGTCATCTGCATAGTTCTCCTTGCCCATTGACACAGTGTTCTTACCAATCTCCCTGCCTACATCACCTCCCATGGTCCATCCCACACAAAGCAGTCTGAACAATCTTTCTTTAAATGCATATTTTAAAATGTTACTCCCCTGCTTACAATGCTTACTGGCCTGTGGAAATGTTCCAGCCTAGTGTTGAAAGCCCTTAAGAATCTGTCCTTCATCGGGGGCCGGCCCAGTGGTGCTGCTGTTAAGTGTGCGCTCTCCGCTTCCGCGGCCCGGGGTTCGCAGGTTCGTGATCCCGGGCGCACACTGACGCACCGCTTGTCCCATGGTGTGGCGGCGTCCCACATAAAGTAGAGGAAGATGGGCACGGATGTTAGCCCAGGGCCAATCTTCCTCGGCAAAAAGAGGAGGATTGGCACCGAATGTTAGCCCAGGGCGGATCTTCCTCACACATACAAAAAAAGATTCTGGCCTTCATCTACTTTTGTTGCCTCCCCCCACCTCCACTTACCTTTCTCCAGGCACCTGCCTTTCAAAAACATTAAGCTACTCTCACTATTCCGAAAGCAGCTAGGCCCTTTCAGGCACCAGTGTCTTTCACCTTTCTCTTTCTCTTTGTGTCTTTCTCTTTCCCTGAAATAACTTTCTCTTTACTTCGCAAAGTCTATACATCTTTCAGAACCGCTCAGATATCACCTCTTTTGGGAAACCTTTTTTCAGGGCAGTCCCTCAGACCATACGCCTCCTCCATTTGCTTCTTGTTTAACACAGCCTGTTTCCCCTTCCAGATTACTATCTCTTTGAGGACAGGATTAGGATCTTAGTCAACTTCATTTCTGCATGAGCCTTGCACACAACAAAGGTTTATTGAACAAATGAATCCCATGTATGCTCCTCCCCCCAGGCAGGAAACGCTCCGTGAGAGGGAGGGTAGGCTGATGGTGAGCCAGGACGTTTGGATTCAGGGTTCCAAGGAGGTGGGAGCGATGCTCAGTGAGCCGAGACTCGAGTTCGAGCTAAGCTAGGAAGGATGGAAAGGCGATCCATCTGGGTTCCGTCGGGGGGTGGGCAGGAGTGTCGGGGGCCGACGCCCGAGTCTTGGTTCTCAGGAGCTGAGAGGCCTAGCCTCGAGCTTGAGGAGGTTTGGAACTGGAAGGTACGAAGCACCTAGTTTGGGGTTGACTGGCGCGGAAGATGGTGATGCCGAGTCCCACTGTCCGCGGCGGTCTAGGACTCCGCGGCCCGGAGTGGGCGGAGAAGGGTAGCTCTCTTCGCGCTCAGACCCCGCCCCTTTCCGGGGAGGCTTTCTCGGATTGGCTGTCCTTCCCTGACGTCATGCGGCCCCGCCCCGGCGCGCGCCCCGCCGCGTGCCCACCCCCGGGCGGCTGCTGCAGCCTACACTACCTCGACCGCAGCCTGCCGCCCGCGGAGCTGGAGCCCGACCCTGAGCGGCGCCGGGCTGGACGTGGGGCTTCTGGGCTGCGGCGGCGGGCAGGCGATGCTCCAGAGGCCTGAGCAGCCATGGAGGCCGAGGCAGGCGGCCTGGAGGAGCTGACGGACGAGGAGATGGCGGCGCTGGGCAAGGAGGAGCTGGTGCGGCGTCTACGACGGGAGGAGGCGGCACGCCTGGCGGCTCTGGTGCAGCGCGGCCGCCTCATGCAGGAGGTGAATCGGCAGCTGCAGGGCCACCTGGGCGAGATCCGCGAGCTCAAGCAACTCAACCGGCGCCTACAGGCCGAGAACCGCGAGCTGCGCGACCTCTGCTGCTTCCTAGACTCGGAGCGCCAGCGCGGGCGGCGCGCCGCGCGCCAGTGGCAGCTCTTCGGGACCCAAGCATCCCGGGCCGTGCGCGAGGACCTGGGCGGTTGTTGGCAGAAGCTGGCCGAGCTTGAGGGCCGCCAGGAGGAGCTGCTGCGGGAGAACCTGGCGCTTAAGGAGCTCTGCCTGGCGCTGGGCGAGGAGTGGGGCCCCCGCGGCGGCCCCGGTGGCGCGGGGGGCTCAGGCGCCGGGCCGACGCCCGAGCTCGCCTTGCCCCCCTGCGGACCCCGCGACCTGGGCGATGGAAGCTCCAGCACCGGCAGCGTGGGCAGTCCGGATCAGTTGCCCCTGGCCTGCTCCCCAGATGACTGAGAGCGCAGCTTCCTTCGCGCCGACGCCCGCCCGGATTGCTTCCCAAGCGCCGGGATTGCGGTGGAACTCGGGAGCTGGACGCCACTCCGGCTGCGCACGAGGAGCCGCTGGCATGAATTTAGAAACCCTGGGACTGAGGAGGGCCCCTCGCTCTCGCTGGCGGAGCAGCAGGGGGACTGGAGGCTGGAGCGGAGGGACTTGCTGGGGGCTGGGTGGGGGCTAATAAACTGGGACGGAAGCAGAGCCCGTGACTTGGGCAGCGTCTGTTTGGGACTCGCCGGGGTTGGGACGAGGGCGGGCACGTTGAGACGGGGTACCATTTCCATCCAGAGGGACTGCAGAACTAAGGTGGCTGACTCTCCCGTTACCCCAAGCCTGGCGGGGGGATATGGGACAGTAGTAAGCCCCCTGACTTCCCCAATCAGGCCCAGGGACAGGCCATGATCCGGCCCCTGAAGTGGCTCCAGCTCCCTTCCCGGCTCCTTCCTGTCCGAGACAATGGGGCAGGAAGCAGGTGTTGGGGGCCTAGAACCCACTAGCAGCCTCCCCTGAGGCTGGAAGGGACATGACAGCGCCCTCCTGTGGCACACGCAGGAGCTCTGTGGGCCCCCAGCAAGAGGGGGATAATCTTGGCTTGCACCCCACAGCACTGTCTTCCTCCTCTCAGTCCTGGAGATGAGGCAGAGCAGATGTAGCCTCATTTGTCAGATAAGATAGTCGAGGTCCAAAAATATCAAAGAATTTGTCCAAGGTCATGCCGTCAGTCGGTGGAGCCGAGACTGGAGCCTAGGGTTTCTGGTTCCAAGTGTTCTCCCTTTAGCCTCTGGGTCCAATGAGACCAGGCCAGAGCTTCAAGCCTTTTATTCCATTTTGGCAGGTTTGTATAAAAATACTCTCTTTAGGAAAATAAATAGCAGCTGCCCTCGCTGTGGAGGCTTGGATTCCCTGGAGCTAAAGACTTCTCAGAGCTGGGGGCTGCAAGTCAGCTCCTCACAGAAGCCTCTGGTGCCCTCCTGAGCTGTGCCACTCAGGAGGGCCGGCAGGATGCCATGGTTCAATCATCTGGTGCTGCTGGCAGTGGGGCTGGGCGAGTTAGTGTTCTAGGCTGGTAGAGTATCACTTTCTGTCAAGGAGGAGAGTCGGGTGGATCATAGGAAGAGGGTGATGAAGACTCTAGGGTGGTTTGGAGAGGGTTAGGGCTCCAGAGGACCTCTAGGGATCTGCAAAGTCCTTTGGGGCTGCCAGGAATTCTCTAGCACAAATGGGAAATATTTTGTCTCTGATTTCGTGCAAATTGTGCGAGAGAGGCCAGCTCTAGAGAAACAGCAGGCAGCTTCGGTGGCCTCAAGCTGGCTCTACCAGAAAGTAAAATATGCTCAGTCTCATCTGGAAGGATGGAGAAGAACCTGCTGAGGTTGGGCACGGGATACGGTCCAGGCCAGCTGGACCAGTGGTGGGGAGGGGTATGTTGGCTAGGGTGGCTCCTACAGGGAGCGGGGGCTGGGGTGCCTCATAAGGCCAGGAGGGTGGGGGAGCCGAGGGGGTCAGAGGACGGGTCCCCACTGCTGCTGCTACTCCTGCGATGGGCTGAGGAACAAGGCTCAGGGGTACTGGGGTAGGTGAAGACCAGACTAGGGGTGAAAGGAGTCAGGGAGGGTGTGGTCATGAGTGTGGGGGTGTGCAATGCTTCGGGTTCGAGGACAGGCCCCGGGGAAAGGGAGATACAAGGCACAGGGCAGGAGGGGGCTGGTGGGCTGCGGGTGCCGCTGGTACCGCCTGTGCCGCCAGTGTCGCTCTCCTTGGCCCCTTCTGGGATTTTGCAGATGGGGCGGTGGGCTTCGAGCACCAGCTCCAGGCGCTCCTTCTGCTTCTGCAGCTCCTCGATCTCTCGCTGCAGTCCGGATTTCTCGTCCTCCAGTTTGTCGGTCTCCTGTAGAGGGTTGGGGGGGGGCGGTCAAGAAGATGAGGGTTGAATACCGCATAGCCTCCCACGATGGTGATTCAGTGGGGTGGAGAGAAGAGGGGGGCTGGGGAGTCTCCAGCAAGTCTGGACTACAACTCCCATGAGCCCCTGGGAGAAAAATGGGCACGACTCCCATCAGTCCTGGGGGCATCTTAGAAGTAGATTGTCGGCCAAAGCTTAAGCACTGCCCTCCTCGGAGTGATACGCGCTGCAACTAATTTTTAATCGCTTTTTCCTCGTCCTTTTCTCCGAAAGACTGCCCCTCCGACAAAGAGATGGGGGGAGGGGACTTCATATACCGGCGCCCCTTGTGGTCCCGCGGGCTCATGGGAGCCGGGATCCCCCTGAGGCTCAATGGGCCGGGGCTTGGGAACCCTCCGCAGCAGCGGGTGCTCACCGCCTGCAGGAAGTCGGTCAGTTCCTTCCTTCGGTTCCTGCACTTGGCCGCCGCCAGCTTGTTCCGCTCGCGCCTCACTCGACGGCGCTCCTCCTCCTCCGGGCTGATCTGGGGGGAGAGGGAGCAGTGAGGTGGACCCAGAGCCACTGGCTGCCGGGCACTCGCCTCCTACTCTGGCCCAGTGGCAGGACTCAGCCTGCGGTTTAGGGACCACCGCACCCCGACCGGTTCCCGCACTCACGTTTTAGTAAGCTTGGATTAGTCACATTTCCTCCTGACACCCAGCTTTTGCCTCCTATGATTCCTCTCTCGGAATGCCCTCCCCCTACTCCACGAACCTTAACCGTCCTCATCTCCCAGCTAAGATGCCCCCGCCTCCAGGAAGCCTTCTCTCATACCCCAGCGAAAAGTGGCCTTTCCTCCTCTGAGCCCCTGGGACCCGGCCACTCTTTTTCGAAGGACCCTCATTCTTTTCAATCTCTTGATAACCAGGTCGCCTCTTTCCCAGGGGCTGTAAGCACTAGGAAGGGCCAATGAGTGCTGCTGAGTAAGTTTTTATTTTATCAGGAACCTATTGTGTGCCAGCTCAGCGCTTTACATAGATTCTTAACCCAACTGTCCATGTAAGGAACTGAAGCCCAGGGAGGATGAATAACTCGTTTATGGTTCCAGAGCAGGAATTAAAATCCACTCATTCTATTCAACACTGAGTGAGAGGCCAGCTGATGGAAACCACCTCCCCCAAAAGGACCCGGATCACAGCTCACAGCCCCAGTCTCGGAGTACCCAGGAACACCCACAGGACAGGGCTGAAGGAAGGAAGTCCAGGAGGCTGCCTGTGGGGCTCGCACTACAGTCCCCTTCCAGTTGGTCACAAAGGCCAGCCATTCTGTTTGTGGGAAAGCTTCCCCTGACTGATGGCACACCTTTCCCAGGACCCTGACCTCCCTCCCCATCCTCTACTCTGCTGTCAGAGTGAGCTCTTTTCCGTGCAAACCTCACCCAGTCTCGTATACCTAACAGTCTCATATACCAAGATGCCCCAGGGAGGGGAAAGAGGAGCCACTCCCTCAAAGACTCTATCTCCCATTTATTTATTTTGGTAAGGACTTTATTAGCAGTGTGCGGGCAGGAACCCTGGTTGAGGAGGCAAGACTTTCAAGTCTTCCCTTAGCTCCCGGTGAGACAGTGTGGCCTGGCGGTTAGGATCTGACTTTAGAATTGGACAGACCTGTCTCATTACTCACTATTTGTGTGACCTTGGGCAAGTGACTACCTCTCTGTGCCTTCATTTCCTTGGCTGTAAACTGGGGAAAACGAGAGTACATTCCCCAGAGAGTTTTTATGAGGATTAAATGAGATAGGGAAACTGAGACGCAGCGAGCAGCTGAAGGGAACTCTCTCCTCTCTGTTCTCTCACCAGCTATACAGACAGCATAAGCCCACCCTCTCCACACATGTCAGCAGGTGGAGATCTTCTACTGCCCACACACCTTTCCGCATGTACACCTTACACATTCTCACTCCCACCTCCATTCTTCCTCCTGCCATCTCCTGTAACTGGAATGTCATTTCCTTCATCTCTATCTATGTAACTGCTACCCATCCTTCTAGGCTAATATGCCTCCACCTAATATGCTTCCCTGATCTAGAAGTGACCTCTTTGCCCCCTGGGTCTCCCCTGGGGTCTCCTATCACTTTCTGCCTTGGCCAATAGTCACCAGTGGCCCCACCTTACCCCTCCCCCCCAAGCCTGTGTTCTCCTTTTGGGCAGGAGCTTCTCTTCTGCAACCCTGTGGGCATCAGAACCAGTGCAACACCCCTGCTCCCTACCTGTTCACTGGGCCGGCGACGCACGCCTGGAGGTGGACCCAGGGCCCGGATGACTCCTGGCCGGGGCTGTGGGGGGCTGTACTGGGGGTAGGCCAGAGGCCTGGGGTAGCTGCTGGGTCCCAGGAAGTGAGGCTGCACCATCCACTGGAGCTCCTGGCTGCCACTCACAGCGTTGATGCTTGGCACGAAGTGGAACTTCTGAGGGATAAGAAATGGAGGGCCAGGGATGAGTTCTGAGTGGATGGAGGGGCTTCCAGTGGACAGAAGCCACACTGCCGTCCACCCTCAAGGCAGCTGCTGGTTCTGAGAGACCTGAAAGAGCCCAGTTTGGCAGTCAGCCTGACTGGGTGACAAATCCCTGCTCATGAGCTGTGTGACTTTGGGCAGGTCACATAACCACTCTGTGCCTCCATTCCCCCATCAGAGCTAATACTTATAGAGTGGCAATTCCAGGCACTGTCCCAACCACTTTACAAATACTGACTCATATAATTTGCACAACAGTATCATCGTTGTCAGACAGGAAAACAGTTGTCCATGGACACACAGCCAGTAAATGGAAAGCGGGGTTTGTGCCACAGGCAGCCGGGCTCTCACCCACTCCTGCACCCTGCCTGAGTCCCATCTGCACAGAGCACTACAGCTCCTAACCCTGAGGGTGGCTGTGAGAAACAGGAGAGAGAATGTATGTGACAGAGCCTGGGAAGTGGCAGATGCCCAGTGCACAAGGGCTGTGGTGGGCGAGAGCCATTGCTCTGGGTTCAAGCTGTCCCAGTTCTAATTTTAGCTCAGCCACTTACTGGCGGTGACTCTGGGCAGGTTATTTAACATCAACGTGCCTCAGTTTCCTCGTTTCTAATATTGTCATAGATGAGGATTACAGCACTTCATTGATGCCAAGAAGTACTCCTTAGTAGCTCTGAAATCACAGGTTAATTGTAACTGTAAAAAAATTTAGCGGTACAAAACAATGGTGGGTTTTTTAACCAAAGAGGTCTTAGATTCCGTGAAATCCAGTAAATGAGATGGAAACCGCCCAGCAGGACGCCT